GCAAAACTTGTACCACCAGACCCCCTCCTCACTGGACCAAAGGGAAGGGAATGAGCTTGTGGGGAGGTGAGGAGAAGGAAAAGATGTTCCTAACTTCATTTTACACAGGGGGGCAACTCCAATGGGGTTACCTTCCTACAGTCTCTTCTTGTGGAAAGTAGGGTAGAGCAGGGCCATAGCATGTCTGCCACATGACTCCTCACCCACTCTCTGCCTGATCCAGGAAAACTGACCTAAAGATGACTGTTCCTGGTCCTTGTGTAGCTAGGATCCCACCTTCTGCTGAGATGCAGGAGGGAGCAGGTTCTCCTTCCCTTTCTGTATGTATAGGCAATATCACCCTGACAGAAGTGGGGATGGACCCAAACATGTTCAAATTTAGAAGCTATATGGATGGCTGTATCACTGTACTGTACTGTAGATGTGGGCTCAGGGTTCTGATTGGCCCACATGGCCACAGCAGGTGGATGAGGCCTTCTCTGGGAGAGTGGCAGGATAGAAAGAATACAGTACAGAAAAAATATTTGAAGAAATAATGGCTGAAAACTTCCAAAGCTTGGTGAAAGACAAACCTACATATTTATGAAGCTGAGTAAACCCCAAACAGGAAAAATCCAAAGAAATCCATGCTGAGACATATCATAATCAAATTGCTGAAAACTAAAGACATAGAAAAAAATCTTGAAAGCAGCCAGAGAAAAATGACACATTATGGATAGGAGATTGATGATTCGAATGACTATGAATTTCTCATCAGAAACCATGGAGGTCAGAAGGAAGTGGCACAACATTTTAAAAACGCTGAAGGAAAAGAAATAACCTAGGAATAAAGGTGAAATAGGGGCTTCCCTGGTGGTGCAGTGGTTGAGAGTCCGCCTGCCGATGCAGGGGACACGGGTTCGTGCCCCGGTCTGGGAGGATCCCACATGCCGCGGAGCGGCTGGGCCAGTGAGCCATGGCTGCCGAGCCTGCGCGTCCAGAGCCTGTGCTCCGCAACGGGAGAGGCCACAACAGTGAGAGGCCCGCGTATCGTAAAAAAAAAAAGGGTGAAATAAAGACATTCTCAGATGAAGGCAAACTAATAGAATTCATAGCCAGCAGATCTGCTCTCAAAGAATTGCTAAAGGAGGTTCATCACATAGAAGGAAAGTGACATAAGAAGGAAACTTGGAAAACTGGGAATTAAGAGCAACAGAAATGGTAAATATTTGGATAAATATAACAAACTATTCGTCCCCTCCTGAATTCTTTAAAATATATCTGATGGTTAAAAGTAAAAAATGTAACACTGTCTGATGCCATTTTCAATGTATATAGGTGTAATATGACACTTACTGTATAAAGGAGTAAAAGTAAAGGGATCTATACGGTGATAAGGTTTCTACATTACAAATGAAGTGCTAAAAAATTGATTCTAGGTATTTATTTTGTAATCCCTAAGTAACCACTAGAAAATTATACAAAAAGATAAAATCACAATAGATAAAATACTAAAAATGTTCAAATAACCCAAAAGAAGGTAGGAGGAGACAAAGGAATAAGAAAGAGGGGCAAAAGCGGAAGATAAATAGTAAAAGAGTAGACCTAATTTCAAACACATCAATAATTGCATTGAACATAAATGGTCTAAACACATCAATTAAAAGACAGGTTGGCAGGGTGGATTAAAAAACATGACCTAACTATATGCTGTCTATAAAAACACTTCAAATATAAAGACATAATGTGTTTACAGATTAGAAAACTCAACATGGTAAAGATACCAAATTTCCCCCTGATTTATATATTTAATGCAATACTAATCAAGATCCCAGCAGGATTTTTGTTGTTGTTGTTTGTGTGTGTACAGATAGACAAGCTGCTGTTACAATTTACATGGAAGAGCAAAGGAACCAGACTAGCTAAAACAGTTTTGGAAAAGAAGAATAAAGTTGGAGGAATCATATTACCTGATTTTAAGACTTGCTATAAAAATACAGTAATCAAGACTGTGGTATTGGTGAAGGGACATAGGCACAGAAATCAATGGAACAGAATAGAGAATCCAGAAATAGACTCACAAAAATATGGCCATTTGATTTTTGATAAAGGTGCAAAAGAAATTAAGTGGAGAAAGCAACCATTCACCATAACCAGAGCTGGGGACACTGTGGTGAACAAATCAAAGACTAAATGCAAATGACAAGCAGATCACAGACTAATGTCAAGGCTCTCAGGCTTTTCTTAAAAAAAACCCATATCTGGCAATAGTTGGCAATAGCCTACATTCCCCTATGGTAACAATTAGCTAGAGCTGAGTGCTGACAACTTCTTTAACACAGGACCTTGCATGCCCCAGTGTGTCACAGCTTCCATGGCACTTTTCTGTTTCTCTTGATACCAAGACTCCATTAGATGCAACTTATTTATTTATGTTTCTTTTGTTTTTTTATAACTTTTGGCCACACCGCACAGCATGTGGGATCATCCACAGATTCAAACAACCACAGACCGTGTAATACTGTAGTATTCACTATTGAAAAAAATCTGCGTATAAGTGGACCCGTGCAGTTCAAACCCATGTTGTTCAAGGGTCAACTGTACATTTTTTGTTTTTCTGTACGTGGGCCTCTCACTGTTGTGGCCTTTCCCGTTGCGGAGCACAGGCTCCGGACGCGCAGGCTCAGCGGCCATGGCTCACGGGCCCAGCCGCTCCGTGGCATGTGGGATCTTCCCGGACCGGGGCATGAACCCGTGTCCCCTGCATCGGCAGGCGGACTCTCAACCACTGCGCCACCAGGGAAGCCCTCAACCGTACTTTTTAGATTTTTTTTGCCACGTGGCTTGTGGGATCTTAGTTCCCTGATCAGGGATTGAACCTGGGCCCTTGGCAGTGACAGCACGGAGTCCTAACCACTGGACCTCCAGGGAATTCCTCAACTGTATTTTTAAAATAATATATTAACTTACTTTCCTTCTTTAAAATTAAGAACATTATATATGAAATTAATATCCCTTTTGACCAACTTCCCCTAATCTTTTCCCTCTTCTCTCCTCCTCTGTGTGATCATTATGCATCCTTTTCAAACACTAAGCAGTATGCATATAAATCCATGAAAAATGTGTTTATCTTAGTTTACATACATGATATAAACATTTATATCATTTTGCAACTTGCTTTTTCAAGATTCCGTTAGAGATCTATCTAGGTTGACGTGTTTATAGATGGAGCTTGTTCCTTAATTTTGCCTGCCGTATAGTACCTCACTGTATGAATCACTGTATCAGGTTTCCTTCTTTTCCTCCCTCCCTCCCTCTCTTGATGGATAATCTTCCAGTGTATCATGTTTTATTTATTTGTCACACTACTGATGGACATTTAGCTTGTCTCTGATTTTCCACTATTATAATTATTCACTAATAACGTTATTCATATTGAAATTATGTGTGCTTACACAGGAACAAGCTATGTATCATTGTATAATTAGGCCACACACAAAGAAGTTTGACAAAATAGTTTCAACACAAAGAAGTGCATCAAAAAAGGACCAAACTGCGAAAAGTACATGACTGGCCTCTGGAAACAAGTTGTAGAGCAAGGTTAGGTTTTCTTGGGCACAGTGAAACTGGAATTAGTGGGTGCGGTTGGGATACTAACTCTGATGAGTAATGATGTAACACAATTCACTTATTCAGGATAAAGATTCTAAACTAATGGGTCAAACCAATAAGGAAGACTTCTATTCCTGACAAACATGGTTATTCAGTATTGTTAATGTATGTCAGAATTAGATCTTTTCATCTATGGTCATCAAAAAGACTCCAAACAGAAGAGGATCACTTTCTGTTACTGTTTTAGGAAAAATTTAAAAATCAAACAGTATTTGATGCTTGAGTTTAATCCAAGGTTAGTTCTGAAATGCTGTACCATATCAACTCTTTGATAAAAAACATGCAGAAAGAGCAAAGGAGGGACTTCCCTTGGTGGCACAGTGGTTAAGACTCTGAGCTCCCAATGCAGGGGGCCTGGGTTTGATCCCTGGTCAGGGAACTAGATCTCACATGCATGCCACAACTAAGGAGCCCACCTGCCGCAACTAAGACCCAGTGCAACCAAATAAATAAATATTTTAAAAAAAGAGCAAAGGAGCAGTAGATAATTTCAAAGTGTTCAACAATAATATAAATCATTATTTTTTTTACTATTATTCAAATAATTTCACAACTTAACTCTCTTTGAAGAGACTGGTAATGTAGCTTCACCACAGTTATGCTATATAAAACATAGATATGACAGTGTGTAGCTTTTCAAGTCCTTGCTTTAAACACCAATTAAAAAACTCAGAAAGGGTGGAAGAGAAAGGGCCCTAAAATTAAAAATAAAAACTCTGAGCATTTGAAATCAGTGGCAAGACAAGGAATAAAATAAACAAGAATTACTATAGACTACGTGTCTTAAGGTGCATAGCAGGATACACACACACATCTGTATATAGCTTAGAAAGCATAACAATATAGTGAACACCCCAACCACGCAACCTCATTACTAGACAAGTCCAAGAGTTCATATCTCTCCCTATAGCTCTTCCCTATTCCATCCCTCTGTCTCACCTCCCCAAGCCCCCACCTTCATGAAGTAATCACTGCCTTGTTTGTGCCATTGGTAAGAAAGGACTTCTGGGAACATTTTCAAGAGTGAAATTAGTGCAAATTCATCTTGAGTAGAAAAACTTGTTTATATCTATCTCCTACTCGTATAGCATGGACAGCAAGCAGCATCCCTGCTGCTATGAAATCTTACACTGGCACCATTCCTATTAAAAATGAGTTATTTTACACTCTTATAAGTCTTCACAAAATTGATTTTTATGTGACCTCACCCTCAAATATTCTATTAAGCTGATCAAAATAAGCCCAATTTTTTTCAGTGTGTGAAAATATAGATGTTTAAGCATACCACAGCATACCACTTCTGTTAGCATATACTCAAGAGCAGATTAAAATACTTATAGGCAACTTACCTCATGTAAATTCAGTTCTTTTACTTTTTCTTTTAATATAACCTGTAAGACAAAAAAAAAGTATGCTTTTATGCCCATTCAAATCTGTAATTTAAAAGATTTCTCATTGTTCTTACAAATATTTTTCTTTTCTGTATATAGCTCATTTCACCTCATATTCAGTATTAGAGAGAATCTCTTACAGTTTGAGATAGAACATTTTAGCAACATTCTTTTAACTTGAGCAAGGTGTAGTATTCTCCTGAAAAGCAATTTTAAAATCTCTTTGAGAATAGATTAAATTTTGGGAGAAGAAATTAACACATGCCTATCTGGAGTATGTGTTAATATGGGGGGAAAGTAAATGAGATTGCTTGCCTCATGATTTGGTAAAACACAGTATTGACTCATGGGACAGACTGGTAATTTATAAAAGACTGAAAAGTAAGGTCAATCTTAATTTTGGAAGCTTTGCTTATTATTATACATCAGTATCCTCAGAAAACTTTAGCTCTATCCAGAATTATGTAAATAGGTTTAAAACTCATCCAGGTGCTGTCCCTAACCTGACTTTGTGGTGACTGGATATCAGTTAAAAATAATGCAAAATGACAAGAGGGCAGATGACTATTTAAAAAGAACATCTCTAAACAAATAGGACCTAATCAAGCTTGAAAGCTTCTGCACAGCAAAGGAAACCATAAACAAAATGAAAAGACAGCTTAAGGACTGGGAGAAAATATTTGCAAATGATGCCACTGACAAGGGCTTAATTTCCAAAATATACAAACAGCTCATACAACTCATTAACAAAAAACAAACAACCCAAATGAAAAATGGGCAGCAGACCTAAATAGTTCTCCAAAGAAGACATACAGATGGACAACAGGCACATGAAAAGATGCTCAACATCACTAATTATCAGAGAAATGAAAATCAAAACTACAATGAGGTATCACCTCCCACCAGTCAGAATGGTCATCATTAAAAAGCCTACAGATAACAAATGCTGGCGAGGGTGTGGAGAAAAGGGAACCCTCCTACGCTGTTGGTGGGAATGTAAGTTGGTGCAGCCACTATGGAAAACAGTGTGGAGGTTCCTCAAAAAACCATTTGAGACAAAAATTGAGACAAAAAGATTCATTCCTTTAGAAAACTAAGACATTCATCTCTGTATATTAAATCCCACACGAGACCCATGTGTGGTTACCTGTGGACATCAGTGTGGACATCTAAGGAACTCACCAATGAGCTCAGATTTCAAAGAGACATGGACAAAAAGATATGTAATCCTAAAATGACGACATGGTCTGTAACATCAGTGTCAGCAAGATTAAAGACCCAAATAAACTGAAGCTTGGCCCCCACCCCCACCTCTCCCCCCCTCCTAAATTGCTATGGATGACAAAAATAATTTCATGCTCAGGGTCAAAAGAAAATTAAGGAACACCTAGGCCCACTGTTTGGTATCAGTGGTAAAATATTAATGGATGACACATGGAAGAAAAAACAAATTTTACTGGCCTTCAAGAAAAGCTAAATTTATTACCTTAAAGAACATATCAGCAAAGGGATAGTACAAAGGGCTAGGAGTTAATAGCAATGACTGAAGTATCTGGACTTCCAGTAGTGTGACGTGAACTAACATTTAAAACACAAAGGGGAGGAGATGAGATCAGTATAATACAGCTGGTTACCTCTGAGGAATTAGTATGTCTTCTAATGAAGAAGGTAAAAATTTCATTTAATGGAATCTCTGAACTCCATTAGGATGATAGTAAGTTCAAGGATTTTAAGCTACAGCATTTCTCTTTACCAAAATATTGGCCAAAGTTCCCTGTTACGTTATATTATTTTATCATTTGAACTTTCTGTAACTTCAAGTAATACTTAAGAGAAGCCACCACAATAAGCCCAGGCACTGCAACGAAGAGTAGCCCCCACTCGCTGCAACTAGAGAAAGCCCGTGTACAGTAACGAAGACTCAACACAGCCAAAAAAAAAAAAAAAAAAAAAAAAGGAACACTTGAAGTATTTTGTATGGCAAATTGGCAAGCAAAATGCTAAAATGAACACAAGTAAATCTAGTCCCAGTTTAAAATATGAGTGGAAACCTGAGGTCTCATTTTTTTGGTGAAGAACATGATCAAAGCTAATCTTAAGTAAATCTCTCTCACCTGTTTGTAGGCATAAAATTCTTTGTGTGCTTGATGTCTTAGCCTAAAAGACAGAAATGAGAAATGCAATACTGAGATTTCCATATAAGAATTTGACAAAAATTTTAAAACTGCTTATTTTTGGTATTAATTTATATCATTTATGGCTTAAAATCCAGAATCTTTATTCTAGAATACACTCAAATGACATATCTGTTACCATGTTATGAGAAAGTGACCAGTGAACCATAGAATGTTATCCAAATATATAAGGTCAAGTGAAATCTCATTAAAACAAAATCTCAAATATTTTATAGAAGGCTCAATTTTTTATATTGACAATAGTCCACTTATTTCAATAATATTTAATATATCACATTTTTCCTAATTAAAAAATTGAGGTATCAATATAATATACATCTAATAATGTGCAAAAGCCTCAAGAATACAGATAAGTATTAAAAAAAATTATACACACCACTGTAACTATCACCCAGATCAATACATAGAACATTTCCAGCATCCCAGAAATGACTCTTCCCAATCAATATTCACCCCTAACACTATCCTAATTTTTATCATTGTAGATTAACTATGCTTGTTTTTGAACTTCACATAAATGGATCATTTGGTATATACTCTCCTGTGTTGGCTTCTTTCAGTCAACAATTACTTGTGAAATTCATCCATGTTGTTGCAGTAATTATATTTTTGACTGACATATAGTGTTCCATTTTACGAATGAATATAAAACTATCCATTCCACTGTTGACAAATATTTAGGTTACTTCCAATTTGGGGCAATTATGAATCAAGCTGCTATACAAATTCTTCTACATGTCTTTTAGTGGACATATAGACTCATTTCTGTTGAGTGAGTATCTAGGAGTAGAATTACTGGTCCAAAGTGCTTGTACCAGTTTTACTCCTATGGGTAGTGCATGAAAGTTCTAGTTGTTCACATCTTTGCCACAGCTTGGTAGGGTCAGTCTAAAAATTTTTAGCCAGTCTGGTGGGTGTTCAGTGGTATCTCATTTTGGTTTTAATTTTGCATTTCCCAAATGATGTTTAAGACCCTTTCATATGCTTATTGCCTGTTTGGATATTTTCTTTTACGAAATGCCTGTTCAAGTCTTTTGTCCATTTAAGAAAATGAGTTGACTATATTTTTCTTATTGATTTGTAGGAGCTGTTTAAATATTTTAGATGCAAGTCCTCTGTTGGGTACTGCAATACTCTATGGCTTACCTTTTAATTCTCTTAATGTTATCTTTTGATGAACAAAAGCTTTTAATTTAAAGCTTTTTAATTTAATTTGTGTCCAGTTAAAGAAATCTTTGCCAACCCCCAGATAATGAAGATAATTTCTTGTGTGTATCGTGAAAATAATTTGTTATTTTACCTATCACATTGAGGTCTATGATCCATCTGAAATTAGTCTTTATGTATGATGTGAGGTAGAAGTCAAAGTTCTTTTTATCCACATGCAGATTTTCATTTGACTCCTTTATTGAAGAGACACTTCTTTCCCCACTGTGTTGCAATGGCACATCTGCTGTAAGTGAGACCAATGTGTGGTTCTGTTTCTAGAGTTTCTGTTTTATCCCACTGGTTTATCTGCCCATCCTTGTGTACTGGGTTGAATCGTGTCCCCTCAAAATTAATGTCAAACTGCTACCTCAGAATGTAACCTTGTTTGGAAATAGCATCTTTGCAGACTATTTAGTAGTTAAAATGAGGTCACATTAGGATTAGGGTAGACCATAAATCCAATATGACTGTTGTCCTTAGAAGAAGAGGAGAGGATATACAGAGACACAGGGAAGAAGGCCAGGTGAAGACAGAGGCAGAGACTGAAGTGATGCAGCTACAAGCCAAAAAATATCAAGGATTGCTGACAACCACCAGGAACTAAGAAGAGGCAAGGAAGGATCCTCCCCTAGATAGCCTTCAGAGGCAGCATGGCCCTGCCAACACCTTAATTTCGAACTTCTAGCTTCCAGAACTGTGAGAGTTTGATAAATTTCTGTTGTTTTAAGCCATCCAGCTTGTGGTACTTTGTTACAGCAACCCTGGGAAACCAATGCATCTTGTGTCAATACCATGCCAGTTTAAAAAAAAAAAAAAAAACACCTTTTATTTTGAAATGGTCTTATAGGAAAGTTGCAAAAAATATCAGAGTTCATATATACTTCTCTCCCCAGTTTTCCAACATTCACATCTTACATAACCATAGAACAATGATCAAAAGCAGGAAATTAACACTAATGTTTTGATATTAATACTCGTATAGTATTCACCAAACAGACTTTGTTTGAATTTCACCAGTTTTTTCACTAATGTTCTTTTCCTATCTTGTGATCCAATCCAGGACCCCAGCCTGCATCTAGTTGTGTCTCCTTAGTTTCTTCAAATCTGTGACAGTTCCTTAGTTTTTCCTTGTTTTTCAGGATTTTGACATATCGACCATGATCACTTGGTTATGGCAATGTCTACTGGGTCTCTCCACTGTAAAGTTACTATTTTCCCCTTTGCAACTGATCAATATCTTGGGGGAGACACATTGAAACTATGAAAATATCCTATATTTTTCTCAAGCTTTTGCCCACTGATTTTAGCATCCATCTTGCTTGCAACAATTCTGCAGTGTTTGCCTGGTGGTGGTTTTGTAGTTCCCTAATTCCTTGTACATTAACTGGGATTCTTCTGTAAGGAAGAGATGCCCCTTCTCCTTCATTTATTTATATCAGCATGGACTCATTTGTGTTAGTCTATGGGTTATAATTTAATATGATCATTATTTATTTTGTTGCTCAAATTGATTTAGGCTTTTAGGCCCTCCTTCAGGTTGATTCTTATATCCTTTCAACATGCCCTCATCCTTTCCCATGCATTTCCTAGCTCACTGGCACCAAAAGATGTTACAAGCTCATCTTGTATTTTCCATGCTCCAGTTGTGGAATTAACCACTTCTTTCAAAGAGCCTTGGTTCCTTTTATTGGAGAATAATATTTAGAAACTAAGATCTGGGTGCTAGGTGAATAGCACTCTGTTTTAAGTACTGGAGTTTTGGAAAAAGTCTTGGGTCCTCAAGCTTTGTTCTTAACTACTTTGGCTATTCGTGGTCCTTTGCATTTCCATATAGATTTCATGAGCTTATCAATTTCCACAAAAAAAATCTGTTGGGATTTTGACGGACACTGTGTTTAATTTATAGATCAATTGGGGGAAGAACTGACATCTTTGCAAGATTGCGTTTCCAACCTGTGAATATAGCATACTCTATTTATTAGATCTTCTTTCTCTGTACACATTTCTACGTAGAACACTTATATATCCTTCATTAAATTTATTCCTAGGTATTTGGTAATTTTTGATCTACTATCAATAGTATTTAAAATTTTTTTATGTTCTAATTCTTTGTTGCTACTACATAGAAAAAAATTCAATTTTTGAATATTGATCCTGTATCTAGTGACTTGCTAAGTTCACTTATTAATTCTAAACATCTTATCTGCAGAATCTTTTGGATTTTTAAAATACACAATTATTTTGTCTGCAAATAATAACAGTTAAAACTCTACCTATTTAATCTTCACATATTTCACTCTTTATTCTTTTTTTTTTTAATTTTTATTTTTTTGCGGTACGCGGGCCTCTCACTGCTGTGGCCTCCCGTTGCGGAGCACAGGCTCAGGACGCGCAGGCTCAGCGGCCATGGCTCACGGGCCCAGCTGCTTCGCGGCATGTGGGATCTTCCCGGCCCGGGGCACGAACCCGTGTTCCCTGCATCGGCAGGCGGACTCTCAACCAGTGCGCCACCAGGGAAGCCCTCACTCTTTATTCTTTATTTCGCTTCTTTTTTTTTCCTGCACTGGCCAGGACCTCCAGTACCAATATTAAATGCAAGTGATGGCAGTGAATGTCCTTATTAATATGTTACTACTAAATACGATGTTTTCTCTAGATTTTTTGTAGATAACCCTTGATTCAAATAAAGTTCCCTTGTATCCTAGTTTTAGACTTAAAAAAATCATGAATAGGTATTAATTTTTGTCAAGTGCCTTTTTTCCCTTTTTACTGTTAATGTGGAATACTGTATTGATTGATTTTCAAATGTTAAAACAATCTTCATTTCTGGAACAAAACTCCACTTGGTTGTGGTGTACCACCTTTTTGTACATCCTTGAATTTTATTTACTAATATTTTGTTCATGAGAAAGATTAGTCTATAATTTCCATTCTTGTAATGTCCTCGTCAGGCTTTGGAATCAAAATTATCTGGCCTCATCGAAGTATCCCTTCTATTCTCTGGAAAAGTCATATAAGAGTGGTATTTTTTTGGGCTTCCCTGGTGGCGCAGTGGTTGAGAGTCCGCCTGCCGATGCAGGGGACGCGGGTTCGTGCCCTGGTCTGGGAAGATCCCACATGCCGTGGAGCGGCTGGGCCCGTGAGCCATGGCCGCTGAGCCTGAGTGTCCGGAGCCTGTGCTCTGCAACGGGAGAGGCCACAACAGTGAGAGGCCCGCATACCGCAAAAAAAAAAAAAAAAAAAAGAGTGGTATTTTTTCCTTAAATGTTTGGAGAAATTCACTGGTGAAGTTACCTGACTTGCAGTTTCTTTGTGGAAATGCTTTTATTATTACATATATAATTATTAATATTTTATATTTCTTCTTGACTCAGTTAAAAATGTTATTATTCTTTTACTTGTATTCACATAACATACAATTAACCATCTTAAACTGTATAGTCCAGTGGTACTTAGTGCAGTCACAATGTTGTGCAACCACTAGTTCACTCTAGTTTCAAAACTTTTTCATCAAAAAAAATCTGGTACTCATTAAGTAGTTGGTCCCCACTCCCCCGTTCCCTGGTAATCTCTAATCTGCTTTCTGTCTCTATGGATTTGCCTATTATGGATACATTACATAAAATAAATCATACAATATGTGACCATTTTGTGTCTGGCTTTTCATTTAGCGTAATGTTTTCGAGGCTCTGCCTATTTGTAGCATGTATCAGTACTTCACTCCTTTTTATGGCTGAATAATATTTCACTATA